AACTACTAATGTGATTCAGTTAACCTATCCCTACGGTGATTCTTCAGTGCATGAAAAATTCATTGAGGACAAGTGATAGTAGTCCGTTTAAGGCCCGAACAAGTACCAACTAATTAGGTGTTTGAACTAGTCGAAGATATTTCCTTTAAATATCTTATCATGCATTTCTATCTTATCATAGGATGGTCGGACCTCTGCACCTGATGTGGTTGAGTATAACAATGCCTTTTAGGTGCTCAATGTGAAAGGGCCTAGCGGCATGCCCAAATTCACATGGTGAAATATTTGTAGGAATGAAATTCCAACTCAATGTTTTAAAATACAGCTATGCTACATGTACACCGTACACTTCCCTCACATGAAGGGCAAGGCCCGCGCATTAAATGGACGTGGGCCCCTCCCCTCATGTGAGGAGAGTATACACCGAGCTGTAAGGCTCGATGTACAAGATACATTATTCTTTAAGATATATTTTCATAACTTGCAACCAATGATTGCATTTTGAAAGTGACTAGAGATGAATAAGATTAAAATATCCAAGTTCGACCCAATTAACAAGTGGAGGAGTTGAATAAGTGAATATTTCATAATTCAAATTTATTAATTATTATAAGCAACAAGTCACAAATAATAATTTTATCTATATGAATTCACATGCAAGTCAAACCTATGTTGAATTATCATAGTTAATAATTTGCAAAAGATAAATAACATCGATGAATGATCACAAAGAAAAATCCTCACAAAGGATCAAAAAGCTCAAGGCCCAAGCCAATGAAATCCACGATAGAAAATTGACTTATAGTACAATTTAAACTCGACTAACTACCAGTACTCTCTAGCCTACTTTGTGTAATCGCCAAAGTCCTCGAATGCGAATTCTTGCACCAGCTCCCGACCTTCTGAAATTGTCTATCTCCTATGGATCATCAAGAATTCTCGTTCTTGTCCTATTGGAACTCTGATTTCCTTCCTTGATCTTCGAAACTCTAACGGATTATACGAAGGTAAGTGATTTGGTGTCTGGAGAATTTGGATTGATGTGTTTCAAAAGTGTTGTTGATTGATCTCAAAGTATAGAATTGAAGTACGGTCTCCAAGAAAGGTTATCTATGAAGTATATAATGATGAACCGCAAATATAGACTAAATAGGACTTGGGTACCTATAATAGGTGTTTGGGGTTGTTTAAAACTTGGAAAATAGTTTAAAAGGTGATATAGAATTTTTCCAGGAAAAAGGCCGCGACTCAAGTAAAATCCTATCCCCAGGCGAGCTCCAGGCTTACACTTAACCGACAAGCTGGCAGTAGGTAGGAGTTATGCTTCCGTTTTGATGCTTGAGCATGATCTTGACATCGATGGGCATTGATGGAGCAATTTTATCTCCTTATTCTGTACTCGAACCAAAAAAACTTCCAATAAACCAAAACAACTTTCCAATTAATTTTCTAACTTGTACAACTCATTTAAACCTTTATTTTTGTCTACGAGATTGCCAATAACAATAAACCTAACAAAGATTGTTCGCAAGCAAGAATCTGCTATGATCAATGTCTTAGAAAAGAGCTTCAAAGATTGAGTGGTAGATAACTCAATTACAAATGTTAAGAAAAATGCAGAATATAAAACCATATTAAATAGTTAAAAGAAATAACAAATATGAAATAAGCAACGACATAAGAAAATTAATTTGAATCATTGAAGGGAAGAAACTAGCTTAACCAAGTAAACTATGTGTTACATCGTTCTTTAAAATAGATTGGTCTACTCGCTCAATAAGTATTTGAGATTTGTTGGGCATACAATGGAGAAATCAGAGAAATTGAGCACCAAATTTCTACGACACCGAATTGACTTTGATATTAACTAGAAAAGTTTTGAACAAACAAACAGGAAAAAAAAATTATTAGTCCAAAGGGATTGTTTTCCTTTTTTATTATTCTTTTTTTCTCCTCCTTGTGCGGAACACGAAAAATTGACCTCCGTTATGAGCTTGGATCCATGAATGGATTACTTAAAAGACTGTCTGACATAGGAGTTACAACTTACAACCAACACCATCTTTAATTCGCTTATTATATAACTTCACCATTAACATAGACCATTAAATAAAAGTATTTCAGGACTTGGAAGGCCACCGGTGGCTAGAGGTGCTAACCAACTTACGAGCAAGGTCGAGCTCAAAATTTTGAAGCCCTAGACATATCGTTATAAAATCTTTAAACATAATTTTTTTTTACATGTGTAGTAATACTTAAATATTTACACAAATTATGTAATTATATTTAAACGAAAACTTTGTAAAACACAAAAGATAGAGTAACTAAATACAATATCTCTAGCATTTCGCGAGATTAGGCTAGCATAATAATTAGGATTCTTAGATTTTGATATGCAAAATTAGTAATCAAACTAATCAATTTATATTTCCCTCGAATAAGCAATATTTACCCTTTTCATATTGATGTTATTCAAGTGGTTTGGGTCGATTTTAACTCAAGTTTATATTGAAAATTTTGAAGTGAAACATTTTTCGATTGTCATAAATGACAACTAATTGTGATGTTGGGATTGAATATAAAATATAAATTAAATTGATGGGCCAAGATAAGATTTTCTAGAAGAATTGTATTGCAGAATGAAATCTTATTTAATTAGATCACTTGATAATAATAAGTTAACAAGGAAAAGATTTCTATTGCAATAAGGGAAAAAAATGAAAATTAGTTGAAAAATAAAAAGGAAACTTACCAAATTTTGGGCCAAGGTAATAAATTTATGACATTGCAATTTGATAAATTTGGCACCATTAGAGGTGCGTACATGGAGGAATTGGCAGCGAGTTGACGTTTCTTAAAGCTATAATGATGGTTGAACAGAGTTAAAAACAGGGAAAGTGTGGACAGATTGAGTTAGTAGCTTTTGTTTGGGTATTTTTTTTTTTTAATTTTTCAAATTGTCCATTCATGTTTCGACGTGCATCCTCCCTATTTTTGTAGCATTTCTATTCTTAAAGAAAGAAGGTTACTCGGCCTTGACATTTTTTCAAGCCTCTCAATTTTGGAAGCCATAAGTTAATGTCCAAGTGCTTTGTTCCAAAACTGTCGTATTTACAAGGGTAAGTAGACAAAAATTGTATTTTTGGCCGAGGAGACAAAATTTATTTGTTTTACTGAAAGTATTATGAGATTCACGGAAAACCTGGTAACGAAATATATATCCATATATTAACGACAGTCACACTACGCAGCTCTAGTGTTGTAAAAAATGACTTACTTAGATAGACATCATATAGATATAGCCCCCGTTTGATAGGATCAAAATAAGATTATTTTGATAAAAGCTGATGAAATACGTTGTTAAAGTTGTGGAACCCATTAAATATGAGTTAAAATTGATTGTTGATTTTGATATTGACTAAAGTTGTGAGACCCATTAAATATGTAGCTTCGAATTTCAACTGCATGCTCTACAAACATTTTAGATCCCTCTAGAATACACCAAAAAATAAGCCCCAATTTGTCTAGTTAACTATCATATTTTTTTATTAAAATTTAATAATAATTGATGAAATATGTTGTTTGAAAATTGATAAAAATTGTGTCTCATTAAATATGTGTTTAAAATTATTTATTGATTTTAAACTAATTTTTTTATCGACATTTTATTCGAAGAGAACTTGAAACTTTTACTCGACTAATTATCATAATCATTTAGATATTCACCTTCTATTTATCTCTAAAAAAGGCCACAAGGAAGCCTCGAGAAATAAGTATTTGTGCATGTTTAGGGATGACAACGGTTCGGTTTTGGTTCGATTCGGTTAAAACCATCATTGAATCGTCAAATTTTTTGGCATACTATAACTGTACCATAACCGCGTAAATCGGTTCGGTTCGATTCAGTTAATAACCACGAAAATAAATTATTTTTTATAGGTTTATCCGTCAAATTGATATAAAACAATTTATGAAAAGAGAGTTAATGAAAACAAAAATACAATATTCCAAACGAAAATACGAACATTATCCCAAATTCCAATTGCAAAATACAAATTTAACAAACAATATTACGAATATAATAATACTAAATTTTTCCTTCATTCTTGATTCTTGTGCATTGTAATTACTCAATTCATGTTCAATAATTCAAAAGCTCCAACCTTAACTCATATTCAATATTCATTATTGTCCACAACTCTTATTAGTATAGGTCAACACTCAAAATTGATTCATAGGAGGCGTTTGGGATACATTTTTATGTAAAAATAAATTTTTGGATAGTAAATTGATGGGAAATGTGTGGTTGAAAAATAATAAATTTTTTTGTATTTACGCGTAATATTATTTTAATAAAGAATGTGTGGTTGAAAAGAAAAAAGAGAAAAATGTATTTTAAAAAAAAAGTACCAAACGAGGATGGTAAATAAGAAATGTAAGTAGAGAATATAACGATACTACCTAATTTAGAATGTTTTAAATAAGATTTAAATAAAAAAATGTATCGATTCGTCAACTTCCTCCTCACTAAACCTTGCTATCCTTAATAAAAGAATGATTTTTTTTAAGCGGGTAATCGGTTCGATTTCGGTTCGACGGCATAAATACCATACCCGCATCGCAACAAATCGGTTCATTAAAATCAAATATCATATCCATCCCATTGCACCATCGGTTCGATTTTTTCGCCCCATTCGATTCGATTAATAACGATTTTCTATTTTAACCGTTCAAATAGCCATCCCTATGCACGTTTGACATTTATGGAGGTGTAAGGTGTTAAGCGATCGGCTCGTTTATTTATTTAAAATAAAATTGCATATTTATTATTTTGATGATGAGTCAGCACACGAGCAGCTGTTTGGTTTTATGATGCAATAATTTCCGAAGTTAATTTAAAAAAAAAATAAAAAAAATAAAATCTTATGCACAGTTAAGCTCACGTGTCTAAGAATGGCCTTTGGCACGTGATGTTCTAATGAAAACCCAATTAGGTTTTCTGAAACCCTAAACCTAAACCCAGTGCGCGGCGGCAGCCACCTCCTTTGCATCTATATAAGCACACTCCCCACGCCTTAGCACTTCAATATCCATATCACCGCCTCCTAACACGGCTCGTTCTCAATCTTTTCGATGGGTCAACTACTTGTTGCCGGAGCTGTTATTGATCAATCGGCGCTGTGTAAGAGCAGACCCTGCATTTTTTACTCCTTTTTTCAATTATAAGCAATTACTTTTCTTACGGAGCTTTAATCGTATCGGAATTTGTGAAGTTCCGATTTCGTTGTTCTTTTTGAAAACTTTTCGTTTTATTTATTTGTTTTTTGTGATATAAGATTTTATTGTGTGTTTTGATGGCATTTAATTATCTGAAAAGAGATGGAAGTGATGAATTTTTCCCCAGATGATTCGAAGCTGAAATTACTGAGCGCCTTTTCTTCTCCTCTTACGGGGAGATTCAAGCCAATATTCTGATCCATCTCCAAATACGTTATACCCTTTCAAACTATTTCTCCTGGGTTGATTTTATTCTCTCTGGTGTTTTTCTGTAGCTAGTTAAGTTTTCATATTATTGATTTTTTTTGTATTTCAATCAAATTTTGTGGATATTGTTCTTCCAAGTACAATATGCTCTCTAATTTAGGTCATCTCCAACCTATATCAATAAACTGGTTAACTCATATATCAATTTGGACAACTTTCATCCTCTCCAATCAAATACATCAAATATTAAATTAAATGAATTTATTTTTAAAACTTATTTAATTAAAAATTATATTATTATTGAAGTTATTAAAAAAATATTTAAATAATTAAAATGTTGTATTTATTAATAAATAAAAACATTATAACATTTTATTTATTAAAAAAAATTCTAGAAATGGTTTAGAGATTGTCTGGACTCAAATTCAAACTGAATTCTTGATAAATAGTTTAGACTTTTTTTTTTTCAATTTCCAGCATGGAAAATAAAATTTACCCATTCCACCCTCAATTCTCACTTATTCAAAATAAAATAAGGTCATTTTACTCCAATGTTGTACCAAAATTGGTGTAAAAATCACTCTAATGGTACCAAAATTGGTATGATAAATAGTGTTAGACCATTAGAGTACTACAGTATAATAAATAGTGTTAAGACAAGATGGTCTAACGCTAAAACCAAATTTGGTGTAGATCACTGGAGTTTGTCTAATGTCAAATTTTACATTAAATTGTTTAATTAAAAATTAATTATTACTAAAATTGTTAAATTAAAAATTATATTTAATGAAATAAAATATTGCATAAATTAATTAACTAAAAAAAAAAGGTTAAATAGATTACCTTAATTAAAAAAATTACATAAACAATTTTAAATTATTATATTTATAATTATTACATGTTACTTGATTTGAATTTTAAAATGTTAAATAAAAATAACATCACATTAAAGCAATATGGATAAATTAAAATCAATTAATTTTAAGAGGTAAAGAACGGATATATTTGGAATGATAATTATTTGTAGAGGGGAAGAGAGGGTTAATGGAAAATATTGAAAAATTTGAAATTTGATGTAAATGAACATTGTTATACCAAAATTTACATCATATTTGATATAACACTATTTATTACACCACATTTGCTATGGTGTAATAAATGGTATTATATCAAATTTGATGTAATACTATTCATTACATCATATTTGCCTACAATTTTGTTATTTATACAATTGGGATTGACAATTCTAATTGACAATCTCTTCACATGGAGGCTTATAATTTCTTCATTTATCGCGAGTCCCTCCATGTGAGGGGTTGTCAATCGGGGTTGTCAATCCTGATTGTACAAATAACATGATCCATTTGCCTAACCATTGGATAGCTTTTTACATCTCCAAATTTGGTTTAACACTAATCATTTACACAAATTTTGGTATAATTCATTATTTCGCATTTTGCCCTCCATTTTCTTTTATGTCAAATTTTTGTACATCTATATCCTTATTTTGGTGTAAAATTTAGCATTACTTTGGTGTAAAATTTAGCATTAGATTGTATTTCCAGTGGTTACACCAAATTTGATGTAACTATTCGAGAGGTAACAACAAATTTATGTAACTAAATTTGGTGTTACCAATGGAAATGTTCTTGGGCTTTATTTCTCATTGAGAATATAATCTATCTTAAGTAACTTGCTACCGCCTTTTAATGAATTCACTACATTTATTGAAGTAATATGTAATGTACAAAGAATTGCATTTTTTTTTTCCAACTAACAATATTTGTTAGGGGATAAATTTTCACATCGAATAAAGATAAAAATATAGATCAATTGATAAATATTTGAATTATTTCTCTTAATAAAATTGACATTTTAAAATGAAATTTTAAGCCTTTATATGGTATCAAAGTCCGTTAAACTATCACTAGTAATTCAATCCTATTGAGATTTAAAAAAAAAGATAATGTGAATTTCAAAATTGATTTGTTCAAGCGAGTTAACATCTTGCGATGACATGTTGAATGATAAAATTTCACATGGAATAAAATAAAAACATAGACTAACTTATAAGAGTTTGGATTACTCATGTTAATGAAGTTGATCTTTTAAGATGTAATTCCAATTCTTTTCAATATCTACATGGTTCTTGCTCATGCCTGATGGGTGAAATAAAGGCTTTGCTTGTGCAATAGGCAAAGCGAAAATTTTCTTTGATTTGTTCACGTATGCTCACCTTGTGAAATTGCTGAAATCATTCACTTCGATATCATCAATATTTGGCGATATAACAGTGGCTATGCCCACACCAGCAACAATCGAGACTGGTCATTATAGTGTAAAAGCCAACTACCTACTATTTTATGAGAACGAAGCTTCATACTAGATCATTGTTTGTTCGTGCATGAGATGAAGCCCTAATCTTGTTTACGAGATCAATTTTAAGTAAAACGAAATCTGAAACTCGAACAAGTATCTAAGAAATACGTCCACTCCCCCTGTAGGTTTTTATTATGAAGAAGACAGAGATTATAACATTGATCAATAGACATGAACATTAACAGCTAGTAAACTGCTAAGCTCACAATTCACAAATGAAAACTTGGCTTTTGTTTAATTCTTTCTGTTGTCCTCCACTAAGCAGATGGAAGGGGATGAAGAGCTGGGATTCGGTTAACAATCTAGGAATATTGTGTTTATCCTGTGTCATGCAAATTTACTTCTAGGCTCAGGATGTCAAAATATGTGAGTATTTTTTTTAAAATATTTTGATAAACGTGAATTTTTATGTTCTCATTAACGATAGTGATTACTTAAAAGGAAAACAAAAATATGCAATATGCATCATAGCACTGAATTGATGTTTTACCATGTCATAGACACTACGAACTTGGAAAAATCAATATCTAAATCCTTTCGGGTGTCGAATTTATTTAAGAGGAAATGCAAATGATAGGTATTTTATTACTGTACATACTTATTTTTATGTTCATTTTTCCTCCTATAAAGATCTTTATGTACATTAATATATTATAAGAATCTAAAGTCGACAACTACTTACTGGTCATCTGCTAGCTGTGCTGAGCTCTGTGACACCTTTCTTTGCATTGGCAATGAATTCTCTTTCCCTTATGATCTGCTTTTTCATAAAATTTCACCATTTATTGATTGCGTTCCCAACAAAAATTGTCATCGAAAGCCCTATCTGTGCCAACTCATCCTACAACGGGTAGAAAATTTCTCTGTTTTTTACGCTAGATTTACATGTGATGATGTGTCATTTTTCATACGTTCCAACTCTTGTGGATATTAATAACTTCATTTCCTGATCTCTTCATGAGGATATATGTCTGGTCTCCTTATATGGATGACTGCTTCTTTCGTTTCTACATTGTTAACATATTCAGATTTTATCCCAAAGCATCAACGACTATCTGCAGGGGCGTATGTTGTTTTATAATATGAACATTTGCTTCTAGTCTTGAAGTCATTAGCGTTGTGCTTGGCATGTTATGCAAATTACAAGTAATTGTTTGAAGTGCCTAATTCCTAAAAAATGAAGTTAGTTCTTTTGACCAGAAATATGGGAGTTTACTAATACGATCATAATTATGGGAAAAGATCAGAAGCTGCATTCCTCATAAGTAGGGTCTACGGATGATTTGTTCCAGTTATGAACATATATAGGCAAAATCAAATACACACTTGGCAAGTTGTTTTTTTAAATATTACATGTGATCTTTTTGAAAATATACTGTTCATTATAGCATATAGTGTGGGATTTCTGGTTGTGTTCTTATTTTAATTTCTAGAAATTTGGGGGGTGCAGACTGATGTCAGTTCACAATTCATTTCTTGTTCTACAGGTTCTTCTAATCTATGGTGCATACACGAATTGGAAACTTCTTGAACAATACGGGTTTCTTGTACTTAAAAACCTAAATGACAAGCTTTTTTTTACAATAGAATCCGAAGTGTATTTCCTTTGTTCATGGCCGAAGGAATGAGGAAATAGGGGCAGATGGCTTTTTGACCATGGCCCTTGATTGTTTAAAAAAATAATAAATAAATAAATAAATAAATAAATAAAGAATCATTAAAACCAATAAAAACTATGAAAATCCATTTTTGCCCTCACACGGACCTAAAGAGTGAAAAAGAGGGGAAGTTTATGTAGCAAAATCATTGCATGTAAGCAAGGAAAACCGACAATCCAGACTGGAGCTCTCCATTTGTGTGAAGAAGGTAAGCTTTGAAACTCTTTTCTACCATTAATCTTTGATTTCTTGAATTGTTGCCATTATTCATTGATTTCCTGAATTGTTGAGGGTTTATTTGTTGAAAACTCGGTTAAAAAATGGTTGTAGAAGATAAATAATTAACGGGGTTTCAATTTTATTGCCGTTTATGTGGGCGGAGATCATCGAAAATGGCAATCTCCGCTTTTGGAGCCTCCTGCAACGGCGAATCCCCAAGGCCCAGACGTTTGGGCCTTTTGGAAATGTGGCCCTTTTTTATTTAATTGAATTGTTTTTTATTTCATTTCATTTAAAATATAAATAATTGAAAAAAAAAACGATTGAAATAAATGTCCTAGACGTCTGGGCTACCTGGAAAATCCAGCAGGTCCAGAAGCAATTGAAATAAATAATAAAAAATTAAACATTCAATAAAAAATTAAAGTAAATATTAAATAAATAAGTAAACGATTAAAATATATAATTTAAATAAACAATTGATAATTAACATTTAAATAATAAATAAATAATTTAAATAACAAATAAATATCAAAAATCAAAATAAGTAATTTAAATAAGTAATTAAAATTTAAATAAATAATTGAAATAAATATCTAACATTTAACATAAACAATTAAATATTCAATTAAGAATTAAAATAAATATTAAATAAACAACTAAATAAATAATTAAATATTTACGTTTAAATGTTCAATAAATAATTTAAATAACCAATAAATATAAATAATTAAGACAAATAATTTAAATAAATAATTGAAACAAATCATAAAAAATTTAGCACTCAATAAACAATTAAAATAAATGTTAAATAAACAACTAAGCAATTAAAAAAATAATTTAAATAAATGTTTAAATGTTCAATAAAAAATTTAAATAAACAATTGAAACAAATTAAATAAACAATTAAAATATAAAGAATTAAACATTCAATAAACAATTAAAATAAATGTTAAATAAACTACTAAACAATTAAAATAAATAATTTTACAAAAAATATTTTTTTCGCTTTTTATAATTTGTTGTTTAATTTTTAATTACGCTCATTTTCTTTATTCAATTATCCGTTCTTCTTGTGTAAATTAGTTACAGTTTGGTTAGTTTAATTGTGTAATATTATGCTTTATTTATTTTCAATCAATAATGTTCTAACATTTGAAATTTTGTAGGATGAATTACAATCTGAACGCTGTCATGAGATAGATTCCTTGCAAAGTTACATCGAACTGTAATTTTGACAGCTTCACATCAGTATTAGATTCGTTGGACGAGGAGTACGTGAAAATATTACGTCGATCCTGCTTATGGCCCTTGTATTCGCTGCGCTTTGTACAACTTTCTGGACAGTTGCTCGATTCATTATTGTGTTGACTGCTTAAGCTAGTTGGCGGAGATATCCTCCACTTTGACCTTTGGGTCAATGTTTCTATATCTTATATATTCGAGTGTATCCTCATCACTGGATTGAGATGTATAGGCGAAGAAGCAACGAGGGCCCATATTCCGACAAACAAGAGGTTGCTGAATGATTATTTTAATGGGTATATGACAATAATACTAGCACAGTTAGGAGATGCATTCAGGAAATGCGACCAAATGTTCGACAAGTTGAAGTTGGGGAAGGTGTTTATACTCGAGAGCGTATTGAGGTGTCATCACATAAAGATGTCGATTGACGTTTTCATTTGGAAGTTGATGATATCGATACGTTCAACAGTTATCCGAAGGGCAGAGATACTTTGTCCATACTTTACGCGTTTTTAAGAGGGGGCATTCGATGCCTAAGAGGGATAGGTTTGAATGTAAATACGATGTATATGGCATGTCGTTAGCTTTGCAGGTAAATGTTTAACGTAATGAATTATTTATTTATTTTATTAAATTGTACATATAATAATTGTAATTGTTGCAGCTATGAGCCTACGAGGCTGTCCTCATCTTGACTGGTCGATATGCGAGGAGACGGGATACATGCTGCCCTTGAATGCACCACTGGCGAGCACAAAACTTAGTTTTTAGCCATATGTTATCGAGTTAATATATTATTATTTACTTATAGGGGCGATTGTGCTATACTCACAATAAAATATATAGAATTTTTTATTATTGGGCACAATGCTGATAAAATAATTCAATTTTGGATAGATATGTGGAGGTTGAAGTTAACCTGCAAATACAGTTGTGATCTTGAGTACATTGTGTATTATTTTATTTGAAAATGTAAATATTAAATCGTGTTCCAACACAACAATTGTATAATATTTGTTTATTTTATTCCTTTATTTATATTTTTCATGAATTATGTTAATTATTTATATTTCTTGTTTATTTCAGTAAATAAATATTTAAACAAAAAAATTAAATTTAATAATTAAAATAAATAATTAACATAAATAATATGTATAACCAATTAAAATAAATTATGAAATATTTAAATAAAAGCTAAATCTAATAATTAAAGTAAATAATTAATATAAATAATATGCATAATCAATGAAAATAATTAATGAAATATTTATATATAAAATTAAATCTAATAATTAAAATAAATAATTAACATAATCAAAGAAAATAATTAATGAAATATTCAAATAAAAAACTAAATCTAATAATTAAAAATATTAAATCAATGTTATAAATAATTACACTGTCAATATTTTATTAACAAATGTTAAATTTTATTAAAGTAGGCAATCGAAATCAATGTTACACTGTCAAACTCCAATGCAGCATACGATTTACTTTTTGTTTCGATCATGAACTTTTCAAACTCTTGAAAGCTGTAAGCCTTTATAGCTTTCCTAAATAACGTAACGATGTCATTGCCTCCATAACTAGTCTTCAGGTTTCCCTATATATGGTACATACATAATCATGATGTGCCTCTGGGGAGACTTTGGCGATACCATTTATTACTGACTGCCCTCGGTCGGTTACGAATGTAAGGTTCTTGATATCCCCAATTACTTCCCTCAATTTCGTGAAAAATCAACACATCGCTAAATCATTTTCTCCATGACTATGTTGACTGTAAGAGGATAAATTTGGATGTTGACATGTTGCAATAATCAACTTGTCCCGTATCTAGCCTTGAGGGTTGTACCGTCGATTGGGATTAAGGGTCGCATTACGTTTTAAAATTCTCGAACGCATTGTCCAAGGGCTATAAAGAAATACTTGAACCGATTTTCGTCATCATTCTCAATAAAAAAAGTTAACCCATCATTAATTTTTCCCATGTTACCTGGCCAATTAAATAAACAATAATCATAATTTAAATAATCAATTAAATATTAAATAAATAGAAAAATAAACAATTTAATTAAACAATTAATTAGATATTAAATAAACAAATGAATTAAATAAGCAGAAAAATAAACAATTGAAATAAATAATTAACAATTAAAATAAATATTAAACAAACATCTAAACAATGAAATATCTTGCCAATTTAACATTACTCTCCTCGATCGAATTCATCGAGTCCTTTAATGCGCATTATTTGACTCTCCAAGCCTTCTGATTGCTCATGACTAACCCGTACTTTCGACGAACATCATTAATGATGTCCAAAGGTCTGTAGATCGTTCGTGAATCCTGAAATTTATGCATTATTTCTCGACCAATGAACCATGATCGAGCTTGCCTATGATCATTTCGACGAATACCCACTTCGCAAGTATATTCCCCATGTATACTTACGAACTACAAAGAACTCATTTGTGTCCATTTTCGTCATTCACAAAACACTAGTGGCGATTGTCGTCAACATAGACAATTGTGTAAGTCAACTTGATGTGATCCAGGAGCCGCAAGCAACCAAATCAAGTTCAACGTCAAGCTGGGGGAAAGATCCGTTGAAAGTCGAAGGTAGACTTATGACACGAGCGAGGACAAAGCAAGTGAAAGAGGCGATGTGATTACTCGTCAAGACAACCATCGATGAAATCATGTTCGAGACTCAAAATGGGATAAGTTTCGTGCTCGGGTCGAAGGTCGAAACCAATTGGATCAACACGATATAAGCAGTCGAAGATGAAGTTGGAGAGAAGAACCATGCGACCGCATGGTTAAAACCGTTTTGCGGTCGCACGGAGTGAGGCAGGGAATTATTCGGGATTTTCGAATGTTCTTTGCGGCCGCATGATTTTACACCATGCGACCACATGATTAAATTTGACGCGTTTTTTATTTTTTACGAATTTCTTATTTTTTTATAGAATTTGATATTTTGTAGATTTCTTACCATATTTGAAATATTAGGCACGTTTTTACCTAATTTTTTAATTACTATTTTATTTTTCAATTGTAAGAAACTTTTGACATTATTCGTAATTTGAGAGGCTATATTGTTTTCAACTTTTGTTCTACAATTGAACAATTCAAGAACTTATCAAGATTTAATCTTGTG